GATGGAGAAGGACGGCGGGTGCGAGGGGAAGGTGTACCAGGTCCCGTCGCGGATGCCGGCCGGGGAGCAGAAGTCGGCGTGGACGGCGGTGTCGAGGGCTTTCCAGAAGATGGCGAAGTCGCGGGTCTCCTGGGCGCGGGACATGGCGATGCCGATGTTGAAGTGGCCGAGGGTGCAGTGGACCATGCTGCCGAAGCGGGAGGCGAGGTTGTCGCCGGCGGGCCGCCAGCGGTGTTCTTCGCCGGAGAGCAGGACGTGGTCGTGGTAGCAGGCGGAGCAGATGAGGACGCCCTTCATGCTGCCGGTGGAGGGGGTGAACCACTCGCGGGAGCCGACGGCGACCTTCTGGCGCTTGGCGCAGGGGATGATGGCCATGCGGGACGCGGCGGCGGCGGTGAAGCCCTTCCAGTCGTGGGCGTCTGCGGCTTTGGTCTTGTAGATGTTGCGGATGTAGGGGATGGCGAGGTCGCACGCCCAAACGTCGGAGGCGGGCTGGGACGAGGCGGGTTCGAAGTTGGCGGCGCAGCGGAAGGGCTGGATGTGGTCCTCGTAGCAGGCGCGGCAGACGACCATGTTGGGGACGGCGTTATTCTTGGGGCGGAGCCACTTGGTGCCCTCGGAGCCGGGGACGCCGGCGGTGCCGCGGCAGTCGGGGACGGCGCTGCGGAGGCGGAGGTAGGCTGTAAGGTCGTCGATGCGGCCGGTGATGAGGGACTGCTGGAGGAGGTGGTCCTTGACGCGGGGCTTGCTGAAGCGGCACGCGCGGGGCTTCTTGTCCTCGCAGAGCTTGCCGCGGAAGTCGTTCTCGAAGCGGGTGCCGAGGAGATGGTCCTCGTAGCAGCGGGAGCAGATGGGGAAGTCGGGGGCGGTCGGGTGGGTGTACCAGGTGGAGGGGAAGGTGACGGGGGTGTCGATGCAGGCGACGACGCCGCGGCCGCGCTTCCGGCTGGGAGGAGTGGCTCTGCGAGAGTTTGCGCGCGGACGGGTTGGCGAGGTGAGCGGTTCCTGTGGAGGGAGTGCGCGGGGAGTGAGGACGACTGGTTCCGGGGTTGGGTTGGTTGAGGGAGGGGTGAAGCAGGACGTGGTGCTGGCGGTGAAGTCGGGGGTGGAGATCTCCTCTCGGGGGGTGGACGGGACGGAGTAGATGGTGGAGAGCATGGGCGAGGGTGCGAAGCGGAGGTTTTGGAGGGTTTCTTCGAGGTTGTCGATGTCGAAGTGGCCTGGACGCAGCTCTGTCTGGGACACGGTGGCCTGGCTCTTGGTCTTTGATGTAGTCGAGGTAGCAGAGGCGGAAGTAGACTTCTTCAGCTGGCTGGATGGGGCCGGTGCAACGGCGCCCTTAGGAAAGTAGCTCGGTTCATCGGTCTGCGGCGGTGTCGGGGGCGGCGGAGGGAAGCTCGTCAACGCGTTCGGCCCCGGGCTGCGGAGGTTTGAGCGGGTGCCGTTGTTTCCTGCAGAAGACCCTGTGGCTGATCCCCGCGGCGCTGGTGAGCCTCCCTTAGCGGAGGCCGGTGCCGGGCTCGGTGGTGGCGGAAAGCTGGTGTAGCCGGGCGGGCTCGGCCGGTCGGTCCACTGTGGTGTCGGCGCCTGCAGCAGGCTCTTTGCAGGGCGGACGGGCTTCGGCGCGGCGAAGGTCGGCTCCGAGGGCGGGGCCTTTTTGTCGGCGCCCTTCGGCGGGTGGGGCCGTGAGCTCCGGGTGGAGGACATGTTGCAGTGCAGCGCGGCTCAGAGTCGCAGCAGTCGCAGATTCAGGTCGAGTAACACTTTGATTCCCTTCGCAACCCCACAACGGACTTCTTCTTTGGGAGCTGCAAAGTGACGATGGCTTCAAACACTTCTTCTTTTTCTGGATGGGTGGGTGGGTGGTGCAGTGTGGGACGAGGTGAATGAAGACGGTAAGGACAGGCCATTTAATCAATCAATCAATCAACAATAAAAGAAAACCGCCGAAAAATGCAATCCAATGCCAAACCACAACAACAAAGCAAGGAAAGGTCTTGCGGGAGTGCATGCCACCTCCATCCGCATCCGGGACGTCGGTCATGTTTAAAGGCAAGACGTCAATCCCCAAGGGATGCGCAGAAAGGCGAGCAGACTGGCCTCGAGCTGGCTTAATTGGTGCCCGATGGGCGGAATGCCGGGTCATCCGTGGAGACGATCCACACCACTTTACGCCCGACTTGCAGCGATCAGCCTGGAACCGGTGGCGGGCCGCGGGAAGGGAAGAGGGCAAGCATGGGCAGCACGAACTTGATGGCCTTTTGCAGAGATGTTCCCTGGATGCGACGACACGAGTAAACGATGCACCCCCGTCCGTCCAGCTTCTTTCATTTCCCGTGGGAAAAAAGACCTGCTTGTTTCTCTTGTTTATGCCCGGCAGATGATGTTTTCCTTCTGGAAGGTTGTACCGTGTTTTGCGCGCCGCCCGCGTTGGCATGTTTCTTCCTTTCCTGCAGCCTGCCGTGGCCTGCGTCGGGGAATTCTTTTCTGCCCTCCGCTGGCCTGGGCTTTTTTCTTCTCTCCCAATTGACAAGGGCTCTAGCCTTGGAATGCAATGCCAAATGAGAGAGAATGGCTGCTTTGGGCTTTGACAGTTTGATTATCGGGCGCCAATACGGAAGGTGATGTTGTTGTTTTTCCTTGTTTTTCCCTTCCCGTGTTCTAGCCTTGAGCAGGGCCAGAATTTTCAAATTTCTCTGCCTCTCTTAGCTCGAACGCACACAGACAGACAGCCTCGAGGACGCGGGAATCCCGCCAGGCCTCAGGACAGCTCCAGGAACGTGTGGCAGGTTGGGCTGCTCATCTCTTTCGCGCACTTCGTTCGCAGGGACACCGTTGGGACGAAAAGTTGAGATGAACGTTCCCACTCACTGAGTCGTAAACTCGCGGCGCTGGCCTGGTTTGACCATCTTTTCTTAGCCACAAACATAAACACCCACGCCGCAGCGTAATTCCCTACGTCCCTCACTTAAAAAGTACTCGCTCCCCCAAAACCCTGCTCCTCCCATACTGACTCAATTGTTTGGTTCCTTGGTCGCTGCTCCTTTCTCACCTTACCCTGCCGCAGCCTGGATCAAGTGACTCGGCCAACCAATATCTGTGAGGCTCTTGCTTGCAACGCCACCCTTTCCAGCGCCCAGTGTGCGTTGCATTTCGTTGCGTTGCGCGGCGGGCGCGGGATCTGTGTGCGACGTGTAGCGCTGCAGCCGTTGGTGGGAAGGCGGAAGCGATCGAAGCGCATCATTCACACTCACACTTCCACTCGCTCATTCACATGCACACAGACACAGCAATCGCACAGTTGCAAGGCCAAGGAGAGCAGATGTTCGAGCTACTGGGGTCTGGACCGGATGCACAGCAAGGCCCATCCCGTGCGACGACGGGAAAGGGAAATGGACTCGCCAATTCTTCGGGGGTCTGCATCCGTAAGAAGATTCTCCGTAAAGAAGGCCAGGATGAAGGGGGAGCAGATGGCAAAACCTCCGGCGCCAACAGAACCCCAAACCCTCGCCTGCGCGAAAGGGCGATTCCTTCGCGTCGCGCTCCAGCGTCACCTTTCTCAATCTCGGAGGCGTCCCCCCCAAATCCAATGGCTGGGTGGCTTGCCGCACATGCGCCGTCGTTGTGTTGACTGCAACGGGCTGCTGCTCTAGTTTCTCAACCCTTGCGCTAAGACCCTTTTTTCCGTCAGCGGGAGATGGGACCTTTCTTATCGTGGAAAACATCCCGCCGAGCGTATCGTTCCAGGGGGAGTTCTTCCTCTTCGGTAGCGAATTGGTCGGTTGGGTGGTTTTCGTTTGGTCGAGTGACATCGCATTTCTTCAGGTGAGCCGCGCTTGTTTAAGCCCAGATCTGTCTTGTCAGTTGAGGAGGGCGGGAAGAAATATGGCAAACAGACAATCAGATCTTCAATGTCTTGGGTCATCAGTGTCGATCCCCGTTGAACATCAATTGGAGAAAGAAACATCCAACCAACTGTCTTTTTCTGCTCCAACCGCTCCATCCTGAACGCCAGCACAGCAAAACCAACCGAAGGATGCTGCACCCAGAGTTTTCCCTTCAGGCTTCGAAAAGTCGCATTGCTGATATGATCCCTGCAGAACCCCCCAACGCCGTTCCATGGTGCCGATTGCTTGGACGTGCCAAAGCGGCTTAGTCCGTCACATCATCCCCCAGGCGCGGGAAATTATCACAACAGGGGCACCACCACTTTCAGCACTCTACGAGTCTTAAAACCCTCTGTTATGACACAAGAAGGGCCCCAGGGGACGAGGGGGGGAGACGGCCACGCCAGGAAGAGAGTTCCGAACGGAGAAGGGATCATGGGTTGCGATTGAAACTCTCTCTCTCAGTGCTCCCTCTCTGTCCGAGTCGCTGTCCACTCTTTTCGTTTGCTTTACTGCCTCCCACACCCCGCAATCCCATCCATTCATTCATTCCCCTTCCATTCGTTCACTCATTCAGTCGTTCGTTTCCCATCACCGGCGTCACTCGTTTCGCTCCGGGGACAGGTTTTCTGAACGTTGAACGGGACAGCACACTGTTGGTTTGTGAAGGTATCGCGGCAGAGTCCCAGCGAACGCGCGCAATCGCATTGCTGCGCCTGGCCCCAAACACCATCTGTCCATCTGTCTCCCGCCCCCAAATTACGATTTCGCAACAACGATCGGCACTCGCTTGGTAGCAACGCGAACAACCACGTCGCACTCACACAACACACGCTCGCTTATTTTTCACAAAATCAACTGTCTTACACGCTTTGGTTAGGCATCAACGAAGAGACAGAGGCTTAACGAAGAAAGGAAGGAGGGATTGCTTTCCGTGTTATCCCGGGAGGACCGAGATGATGGTGGCGCTGGAACGTTTGGCATAGCGAAAGAAGAAACCCAAGATTTCCCAGCCAGCTGGGACGCCAGCAAACACACGCCCCAAAAAAGAGTTTGAAGGATTTTTCGATTGCTGCCCAAGTGCTGGAACAGAATCAACCAACAAAAGAAAAGATGAACGGGTTCAATTTCCCTCCGCCGCCCGACGAGCCCGTCCCCGTCGTCCCCCGCGACATCAAGGCCAAGCGCATCGTCCCGTCGCCCCGCAAGGCGCCCACCGTCCGGAGCGGCAAGGGCTCCATCTTCGGCAAGGCCTCGATCCCCTCCGTGTACTGGGCCGGCGACGACCCGACGCCGGGAGGCAACGAGGAGTACACCTTCTACCGCGAGGGCACCCCGCCGCCGAGCGAGAAAGGCGGCGGCCGCCAGCGCGGGCTGAGCCTGTACGACCAGGAGAGGCGGGCGGCGCGCGGGCAGGACAGGAGGAACCGCAAATGCTGCGGGCTGAGGATGTGGGTGTTCTGGCTGCTTGTGTGCCTGATTATCCTCGTGGTGCTCGGTGTGGGTGTTGGAGTCGGTGTTGGCGTGGGGTTGGGTGCGTCGAAGGCGAATCAGTCGGATGAGAGCGCGGCGCGGACGAGGTATGACCTTTTTGATGGATGATGAAGATGAATGTACTGACTGCGTATTAGTTCCGCGACACCTACACCAACGACTGGCGTCGCCGCCGCTTCCCCGACGACACCCCTGTCCAGCCCAACAGCATCATACCCCTCCGCGGCGTCAAGCGTATCAACGACGCCCGCCACTTCCACCAAGACGTCCTCTACTTCATCGTCATCACCGACCGCAACCTCCGGCCCCAACGCCCTGTGCCCCGATGCCGCCAACACGTTCTACAGCCCCGTCGGCTCGGACAAGCGGTTCCTGCGCGTCTGCGGCGTGGACTACTCGGGCGACAACGAGGCCATCGACATGTCTAACATGTTGGCCAGCAGCATGGGCGAGTGCATGGATATTTGCTCCAAGACGGCGCAGTGCACCGGCGCCGGCTGGGGGAATGTGACGACGGGCGAGGGCACGATGGAGCTGAGGTGTTGGTTGAAGCGGAATTTGCAGAGTTCGCATAGCGCGAAGGAGGGGTGGAATTTTGCCATCTTACAGTGAGGGTGGAGGAGGTGTTTTTGTAGATATTTGGGAATAATGATAATGTGTTGGCCATGTCAGGCTAACTTTGATGCCATCTCTAAACATAACATGGGACCATGACCGTACAACTTTCATTGAGGCAGTGTAAATGAGACAACATGTATTCAGAAACGAGTAGCCGTATTAGTCCATAATAATTATTCATAACGCCTGTGCTGGTATAATGTCGTCCATGCGATGTCCATCATGTATCCATACCTAACCCTACATCTCTCCTTTAGTTGATAGCAGCAACAACAAAGCCAGCCACAGCCGCGGCAGCCATAACAGCACCAGTCTCCCTCGGCCCGGCCGCATTACCAGACCGTCCGCCTCCATTTCCATTACCATTACCAAGTCCACCTCCACTGCCGCCGCCAGGGTTCACCGGGCCGGCGCTGGTAATCTCGGCAACCAGCGAGCTGCACTGACCCGTACCCAGCGGCAGCACGGTCGCGACGCCCTGAACGTCGCTGCAGGCCTGCCAGACGGCGCGGAAGTCGCTCATGTGCGCGTCCTTCCACGAGGTGAAAGACTTGGCGTAAGTCGAGTAGGCGGAGCCGATGGAGCCCGTGATGGTCGGGTCGGAGCAGGGATCCGTCACGGAGGCCGACAAGGCGAGGTAGTTGGCAACGTCGACGGGGAGGGTGGGGGCCGCGTCGGTAATGCGCGGGAGGACGGCCGTGGCGACGGAGTTGCAGGAGGCGAGGTCGCGGCGGACCGGCGAGCCGATGTGCTCGGCGTTGGGGGCCGTCATAATCTCCAGCGATGCGGCTGAGGCGCCGGCGGCAGCGAACAGGATTGAGTAGCGCATTATGGGTGGTTGAAGAGGGGGTAGGTTGAGTGTGATGTGGTGTGGTTTGGCTTGTGTGAGATGAGTATCTCTTGTGTTGATGGAGAGCGGAGATGATGACAGGGGCAGTGGGATAGGTTGAGCCTGGCTTATTATGTTCCGGGCGGGTGTCCTGTGCAAGCACGGGTGAAGGCGTTGATGACGACGGGTCGCTCGATGATGGAGGAATGCGTCCTCAGTGCGGCGAGGTCTGAGAGTGCAGAATGCAGCATGCACCCGTGTTGTTGGGACCTCGGGAGTTTTCTCACCATCCTATGTCGAGGGGAGAAACATGGGTGCCAAACAAGCTCGTGGGCTTACATCGTGGGGCGAGCTCCATGTTTCTCGTTTGTCTTTCCCCGGCTTGCCGCCCCCTGGCTTCGCTTAATGTGGCTGCCTAACAAGCCCGCATGATGTTGTTCCAGATGGTGAAGAGAATCATCCTGCTATTCCACTTGAATTGTTCATGGCGGTGGCTCACCACCCGTTGGCATCGTTTCAAAATCACCTCACTCAAATCACCCGCAGAGCTATTCGATATCTCACGGGAGAGCGCCCCCTCGCTCAGCCACCGCTATGCCGAGAGCGTGATGACGGGGGTACTAGCGGCAAAGGCTAAGAGAGTTAACTGACTGACTGAGCCTGTTCATTGGGCTCCCGCAAATGTCTTGCGTTAGGGGGGAAGGGGTTCAGACACTCCCGCATGTCAACGGGCCAAGGAGGGCTCAAATGGCAGCAATCCGAGCCCTGTAGGAGCGGCTTGACAGGCCTTCTCTTGGCGTTGGGCTACCGATCATTGGCAGATCCAGGTCATCGTTGGGGAATGTCTGTGGCCGCGGGTCTTTCCTTTTGACGATGCATGCATGAGGGTCTTTGATGGCGGTCGATGTGTCAAATGTTTCGACAGGCCCATCAGCTCGGGAAGAGGCAACCCATTATTCTTCGTTTGCGTCTTTCGTCATCATCCCTGCACTACAAGGGGACTCGCGATGAACCGAATCGCGCCTTGCGCCGCACTCGCATTGTTGAGCGAAGCACATGCTTCCATGTCGCCCAACTCAAAACTGTCTTTCTCATCCGATGTTCGGCTTAAATGTGTAATGCCCTTTCCATTTCTTTGCCGGTATCTTGAGAGTTTCTGCACCCGAAATTGCTTTTGTTCATACGTCATTCTTGCTGCCCCCCATCCAAACAACCCGTGCCCCCATGTCAAAGTCCGTCCGACGCACCAAGCTCGTCCAGCTCTTTCGACCGCCGTTCCCTGTCCGCCACCGAGTGTCGCGCGTACGACTCAAACAGCCCCATGAAGGGGATGATTAGCAGGAAGATGGGCACCAGCTGGCTGAACATCAGGCTGTTCTCCTCGTCCTTCTCGTCCTGCTCCATCTCCGAGTGCCCGATGCGCCGGTCGTCGACCACGGCCTGGATCCCGAAGCTGAAGTACGCCATCAGCCCGACGATCGTCTCGACCTCGGACGCGAAGAAGTACCACACCCCGCGGAACGCCGCCTTGCACCACCGCCACGCCGTGTTCTCTGTCCACCGCGCGACGAAGACCGCCTCGGGCTGCAGCACGTTGAACTGCTGGGTCTGATTGTCGATGAACCGGCTCCGCACGTGGTCCATCCAGAATATCCGCCCCGTGCGCGAGCTCATGAAGATCCTGACGCCGTAAAAGTACCCCATCATCACCATGTTGACGATCATGAGGTTCGCCGGGTCGCCGCCCTTGGGTAGCCCCAGCGAGCACTTCATGGGACAGCGGAACTGGCCGGGCTCGTATATCTCGGCGTACCCGCCAACATACAGCGCGTAGAGCAGCAGCACGACTGTGGTGGCCATGAAGAAAATCCGTAACGCCCTCGCCATCCGCCGCGGCAGGACCATGTTCTGCTCGTTGTAGCGCTCCGGGTGCGTGCGCTTGACGCTGTCGCGCATGCTCGTGATGACCAGCAATGAGAAGAGGTGCGTATTCGAGCAGAACCACGCGAGGTCGGTGACGATCATGAAGTGGTACGTGGATATCGTCCCCTCGAAGAGCTGCTTCATCCCCGCCACGAGGATGGCCATGCCGGTGACGAGCTGCAGGTCGCTCAACGTGTTGACGAGGTCGTACGCGACGAGGGCTTGCAGGTCTGGGTTCATGTGCAGCCGGTGCATGAGGTTGCGCGCGGGGGCGGAGACGTGTTTTCGGAAGAAGCGGTCGAGCGGGTTCATGGTCTGGCGCTCCTCGTTCGTTCGGCCGATTACGAGGCAGAATATTGTTGTTAAGAGGGTCACGAAGGCTGTGAAGACGAAGGCGAAGATGACCTGGTGCGCGATTGGGGTCAGTGGAGAATAGATGCGTGTAAGAGATCTGAGGACTTACACCCCGACCGGCAATGTCTGGCTCAGCAGTCATCCGTGGACAGCTGCAGAAGCCAAAGTAGCTGCAGTCGAAGTCATTGGCGTCGATGTTGTAGGTCACATTGTCTCCCTGGTTGATGCAGTCGATCAAGGCCTCGGGGTAGGCGTAGTTCTTGGCCCGTGAAAATGCATGTTCTCCGACGATGGGCATGGTCAATCTCTGATGAAGACCTCAACGCCGAATGATTCGCTTCGTGCCAATAGTCGACGGGAAGCTGATCGTGCTGATGTCGACAAGGCTACGTTGGATGAGACAAGGGGCTCTGTATTTATTTGGTCACCATCGCCCGATAAGCTGGTCTGGAACCAGAGACATATCTCAAAGAACTTGGGAACCGAATCTGGCATGGAGCCGGCTTCGGAATGATTTGCCCAAGCCACCGCCAACCTGATTACGAGCTTGACGACACAAAGAAACAGCTTCCCAAATATCAGGCCCAATGATTCGCCCACTTTAAATTATCATCTGGCTTAGGTCCTTGGCAGACGATGACAGTCCCGCCGTTTTCACGAGAACCCAGACACCATCCACGTGAAAGACTCCGAGGCACATCAAGCTCCGGCTGACTTCCGGGACCATCAAGCTCCGGTCGTCTTCCGGACCCCACCGGGCCGCATTAGACCGCGCCGACCGGGCGCCCACGCCCCGGAACCCCACCTTAGGTAGCTCCGGACGTTTCCCGCGTCGCAAAACTCAATCAAAATCAGAGTTCCAGCCCGCCAGACTGTCGGATCCGTCGGGCTCACGAGCCATATGAAGCGGGTTTGAGCTGAACTCTCCTAAATCTAGATCCCATCTTGGCGGACAGCTCCCGCCAATGGTGAGCTTGGGGAGAGAATGCCGAAAGGCAAAGGAGCTGTTGAAGCTCGGAATTGATAAGTGATCCTGGGTGAGATTGGGCGAGACTTCATCAGCTTTCAACTCAATCTCGCCGAGAGGTGACAGGTTCGGGGCGAGCCCGGCAGAGTGAGCGATTATAAGTTCAGTCTAGAGGCAAGCTTACTCCCCAGGCGAAGGTGCGCAGACGTGACATTAGCCATTACATAGAAACAAAACCAAAGCAAACATGGCCGCTGTTTCCCGCCCACACTTCGACTCCGGCCTCAAGCGCTGGAACCCCGACGACGACAGCATCTACGTCCTCAACCGCGGCGACGTCGCCAAGGAACGCGCGCGCCTCGAGTACAACCACCACAAGATCTGGCTGCCCCTCTGCGGCGGCCTTTGCCCGCCCCAGATCCTCGCACACCTGCGCCAGCTCCCGGCGCCGCGGGTCGCCGAGCTCGCGACCGGCACGGGTATCTGGCTGCGCGACATGGCGGCGCAGCTGCCCTCGACGGCGGAGCTGCGCGGCATCGACATGGACACGACTAAGTTCCCCCCCGCGTCGGAGCTGCCGAGGAACATGTCTATGATGCAGCACAACGCGCTGAAGCCGTTTCCGCAGGAGATGCACGGGACGTTTGATATGGTGCACGTGAGGCTGATATCGCTGGGGATGAAGAAGGATGATTGGGCGGTTGTGGCGAAGCATTTGTATGCGCTGCTGCGGCCGGGTGGCTTTTTGCACTGGGAGGAGGTGGGGGATTCTGTGTGGAGGGTTATTCCGCCCAGCAAGGCTTTTGACGAGTGGATGAGGATTGGGACGTTGTGGTCCATGAAGGTCGGACGAGATCCTTTGTAAGTTGTCCTCTGAACATCTCCCTCGGTTCTGGGATGCCATAATTCTGTCGGTTTGAC